ATTTGACTTAAGGTCCTCACTTAATGACTGAAAGTCAAATATTTTTCCATCTGGCCCAAACTAACTCAGCCAATAAGCATTACATCATATGACCAACAGTCTTCCTCTTTCTTACCTTCTACTTTCAGCTGATCTCACAAGACTGTATAGTATTTCTGACCTTGTGGCTTTCGGATAGTTTTTATTTTTTAAATGCCTTTTCAGTACAATAATTCCCAGGGCTGCATGCATCATCCAATAACAAGGAAACTTCTATAGAGTATGCTAAGTTCAGAGTAGTTCACTTCCCACTCCTGTGTCAGGTATCCCAGATAATTCTATGGTACCCTTTCAAATACCATGGAGGAGAATCTCACCTGTAAGTCAAACACTTTTCAGTGCCATTTCAGCACCTCATAATTTGAAAATTGTTATTGTTATCACCCCATTTTAATTCTTAACAATCTGTCAGTGGTTTGATTTTTATTGTGCTGAAATAACCTGCTGAGGGCATAAAGCATAAGTCATGCAAGAAAAATTGAGCATAAACTAGTTATGCTTCTTCTCCACCAGTATAAATTGTGCCACCCCTCATAATTTCCAGTTCTTTAGTGAAAAGTGCAAAAAAAGAGGAAAATTGTGTGTTCAGTGGGATAGTGCTGGAATGACAGACTTGACAAGGTTTAAAAGTGAAGCCAGTTCTAGTCTCCTTACTCACATGCACTGTAGCAACTTATGCCATGTTTCTATGTTGTAGAAAGGAGCCTTTTGACACTGTTTCTCTCCAGAGTGGGAAGTTGGTCAATCTGGAGTCTATGGCCAGCATTTTTTTATTCATTGGTTTCCCTGACAATTCATTGGCACACATTTATACTCCTACATGGAAAAGGCACCATCTGATGAACATGATAAGTGACTTTGGTTTAAGTTGGCACCTGATTTAACCTTCTGATCCAAAGTCAAGAGCACTACTCATTAAGGTCAACAAGTCTCCAAAGGAGTATGTCAATAAGGTGGGAATTCAAACTGTAACTGTCCTAAAGGTTTCTTTGAGTGGTGTTAAAAACTTGAACATTTCTCACCCTTCTAGACATACCAGCACAGCTTTTCATATGTTTTACTTCTACCCGTGATTATAGTGCACTAAATGCTTTTTGCCATGGAAACTGTGATTCATATGGTTATGGTTATTTGGCTTATTTCCAAGGCTTCATGATGGAAATCTCATCTAAACCTTTCAAGCGTTGAGTATGGAAAGTTTTCCATGCTAATAGCTACTCAGATCATGGATTCCACAAAGTGTGTGAACCTGAGTTTTTTTTTAATGTACATAACCTATGACCTCAAGCCCCGATTTGTAGCACGTCAATTCGTTTAAGATAAATCTTTCAACCAATTCATTTTGATGGCTCCATAGAATTGGGAGATCAGATCGTTGTCATTGGCATCAATCTGCCCCATAATTAACCAGCTGAGCCGTAGGTCTGTAATCAATATCACAGAAAATTTCACCTCGCAGCGGTAGGTTCGTCCTCTGTAAATAATAATTATAGCTTCAAATAAAAGATCAACACAAACTTACCACTTGCTGCATATTCTTCTAGTTTCCGACCAACTTTTGGAGTTAATTTGCTCAAGTTAGAAGAGGACAGCCTTCCTTTGACTAAATCATGAATTCTACGATGATTAGTAAAGAAATCCACCCTGTTGATTCCCGCCGTGTTCTTCACTGCATCTTCGACGGCTCGCTGAAAGTCTGCTTGAGGAGAGTTAAAAAATAAATGGAAATCTCGGACATCAGTCAAAAATGTCATTCGCTGACCAATTGCGTAAAATGTGAAGACCTCGCCATGCTTTTCGCTGGATTCTTTGATGAAAGTCAGCGGTGCTTTTCCAAACTCGATTGCACATCCGAGCCAAGGAATCCATCCTTTGATAATCGGTGGGTATTTCACGTTCTTCGTACGCAACAAATTAAGTGTCATTAAAGAAATCACGAGTAAAGCTGCAAAAATGATGGATGATGAAAGCTGTAATAGTTCCGCAAATACAGCCATGTTTGTTATTCGAAGGAGCTTATGGAACAGAACGCCCCCTGGCGCGGGAGCACCACGCGGGACCCACTGTGTAATTGTCACGTGACACCTGATCTCATTACGGTGTTAAATTCCTAAATTAAGGTAATCAGATAAAAAAAGACCAAAAAAGAGACTAATGTTGATTAATAAAATCTCAAGACCAAGGCTGATAAGATAAAAAGATAAATAAGTAATTCCTAACAACCAACTATCTCAAGCTATTTTTGAAACTAGTTTCCGGCGCACTGCGAATATTTTGTGTCTAAGCGGGTGTTATAATCGTGTTACCATAATCCTTGATCCGTGATCTAAGTGACCATAATAGGGTACGGTCTAAGGGCCACCCTGTAATAGATATTGCTACAGATTTTACTTCTGTTTTCTTTTTGTTTTTGTTTTTTTGTTTTGATTAGGTAACAGGCTTAAGTTCTGATTCGACAAATTAAAAGAGTGTGATCAGCCAGCAAGGTATGCAGCTGAAACTGCTCCATTGCATGCATTGCATAATTGCAGTGCCAACGATTTTATTAGTGGATATGTGTTGCAGTTCGTCAAAAATTTTAGCCAAAGTGATCAAATTTATTGCACTGTGGAAAACAGCGTGACTTTTTGTAATTTAGAGCATGGTTATTGTTAAGAAATTGTAGGAATGTCGAATGAAAGTGCACGCAATTTTGATACTTCAAAGTAACTTCCTCTCTTTTCCACCTTGTCTTGTGGGGGTAACTCTCATCCTTTGCGGGACTCATTGCTTATGTAGGCAGAAAGTGTGCCGCCATTGCAAGTTAAGAGCAAATGGGACAGAAAAGTTGCGGCATCCATCGATTTTAGATTCTTTCTTTTTTCGGATCAAACTGGGTGGCATCATTGAAACTACAGCCCCTAAAACGGATGTCGCTAATAATGCCAAAATAACGGGGGCGGAAGTGATCTTAATCTGCCTCCTCCAGTGACTAAACTGAGTTCAGTTTATTAAAAAACAAACAATGAACTTTTAGAAGGATCGTCATTTTAGGTATCAGTTTGCTGTTTTTCACTGTTTGACTGTGGTCTGAGTTGTCTGGTTATGACGAAATAGTATCTGAGCACGATGATGGGCCCACGGAGTGCTAACAGTAGGCACAAGATTTACACAATTATTTTCTGGAATTTTCCTTTTCTTTCCCACGTCGTTCGAGATGAGCAGTTTCCCTTTCATGGTAACGGCTTCAAATCTTCATCATATAAGTCACAATAAGGGCTTTCCATGGTTGTATATTTTTGCTTTTGATATCGAGAGACAAGAGTATTCTTCATCGTTCTGTTTACTCTTCATTCCAGGTTTTAAGCATCTTATGTGCAATCACTCTTTTCCCGAGTAACGTGCCATCACATGATCTCGGGAACGAACGAAGATCCAACGAGACCAAGCCGAGCTTCAGGCAAAGTAGCCCCCTTCTACCCCGATTCCACAAGCATCGGATAAAGAATAACAAGCCAGCAGTTTACACCAAAGAAGCATCACCCATAACGTTAACCCAACGTCCAACGAACAGCAGGCGAATTCGTCTTTTTGGCCGAGTAGGACTGTTTCTTCATTGTAATGCAAACGGAACAGTTTCTGGTTCTTTGAATCGACACAGTTCATATGGTAAGTATTTTAGGCTTTCTGAGTTTATAATCTGTTTTTTATTTTTTTTTTGCAACGTGTATTGCCAGTGTCTGACCGATTATTAATGTACATTTGTTTCAATTAAGCCGAAATATTGTTTTTATAAGTCATTAACAGTGAGCAAATTAAGTTCTAATTTCCTCCCGCATAAGTATCCTTCCCAGCTGTGGGTTAGAGAACTGAGAAACAACAACTTCACAATTTTTAATGCCGAATTTAACACGAAAACGCATTACTGATTCGTTAGTGCCGTCAGTTATTCACTAAGTGGAAATACGCCTCAAAGACGCTTAGCTTGAACTGCCAACCGAAGCTACCTGTACTGCGATTTCCCGCACAATTTTCCCGAAAAACCCTCTGTTTCTCAGAGAAAAAAAGTTGTGAAACTATTTCGGTTAGAGCATTCATCTTTACTTTAAGGAATGCATGAATGTATGGCGCAAAACTATGAGCTCCTTGAATCAATTTATTTTTTTTAAGGGAAATCTCGAACCTTGTGAACAATATTGTTTGATATCAATACCAAGGTCTCCAAACGAATTTTAAGTAACGGAAATAAACGATCACCGTGGGACCAATGATTAATACAAATTCTAGAAGTGTTCATCAGCCACTGCCATATTCATGACAACCTACACTGCGATCTTATTATCTCAAACAAAGTCATGACCAACATGACTGTGCTAAACATGATAAGAAAAGGTGTCTACTCATTCACACAAAGAAGCAGGAGTAGCAAATATAACGGCATCGAACTCACACAGTTAAATTCAAGTTCCCACTGCAAAAGCCGCTTTTTGAGAAAACCAATTACCACACGCTACACGGAGGGATGGAGACATATTTCAATTAATGTTTTAATCACTATTTTAATGCACAAATACAGATCATACCGGTTTTTCTCACGAAATAGAATGATCTTTATTTAGAACTGACCCAAAAGGCGCTCAAGAGATCAAGGAATGAAAAGTGGTCGTAATCTCAAATCTTACACGTCTTTAAACGGTTGTTTGTCAATTCAAAAAAGCAATAATGAAGGATATAAACCCGTTTGAATTTGTATGGGGAGTTTTTGCTGTTCCCTTAAAGCCTTACAAGAGTCGCATAGGACACGTGGCAAACAACGAACAAAGAGTGAAGGGGGAGGAGAGGGGAGGGAGTTTTTTTTTTCCCTTTCATTTCGCTCTAATCTCGGCTTCACTCACGTAAATCCCACTTGGGTAAACGGAAATGGGAGCGACTGCTGTGCAGGCCAGTTAAGACATCCGGTTTCAAGCCGATTTTTCTGTTTTGTTTTTCCCTGATCCCCAGCGGTACTGCTGGTGGGAATAAATTATAGCAAATACCAAGGTCCTTTGAAATCCCTTAACAAGAAATTAAAAATTAAATTCAAAATTTAAACGCTCTTTAAGCTATTGACAACTTTGAGTTTGTCCTTTATGTAGTTTGTTTTGTGCATGAACTAGTTTACTAGAGCAGTATGTTCTTTGGCTCAATCTCGAGCATGTAATCGAGATCCTCCTATGTAGACTGATACTCGAGTCATCCGTGACCTTCGGTTTTGCCAAACCTTCCCCTTAAAGTCGCTCGATACTCGCAAGCGTTCGGCAAACTTCGTCGGTACATCGTGTAAAAAGGACGGAAAAATTTTATCAAAAGGCAAAGTGCATCGTGTAAGATTCGATTGGGGCTTATCCTAAAGTTGCCATTCTGAGCTGTGTGTTGGCCACTCCTGATGTATTTCAGCTTGTTCCACGCTACGGTCAATGATAAGAGCGGAACTGCGACCGATCGATCTCCGCTGGTTTTCGCCCTTGCCCCTGCCCCTGCCCCCACACCCAACCCCGCCTTTTGGTCCGCCTCCTCCGATCGAGAGCTAAGACTGGATATAGATCGCGAATGAAGCAAGATTGATTCCTTAGACTAAAACTAAAGTATCTCTGTCTCGCAGTAAAATTTGAGCTCCAGTCGTTTGGTCCAAGTATTGTTCGAATCCGAAGCATTGGAACTGGGAAGTTCTTCGCAATCAATTCTAAGGGAATCCTGCATACAATCGTAAGTAGAGGAAGTTTATTTTATGTAATAAGCTCAGTTATGCACGCATTCTGATTGGTTCTCACTTATGATCTATTGGGAGGACAGACGTATAGGTGACGTCATCATTTAAACTTTTTAAAATTCTTTATTATATAAAACAAGTAGATTCCAAGTTGCCGTGCGTCTGTTCAGTAATAGATCACAGAGGACGTCAAAATGTGGTAAGAACATCAGTGACACACTCGGCTACGCCTCGTGTGCCACTTTTTTTCTCTGTTTTCTAATTTTTCCTCTTCTTCTCGTATATTTAATTGTGTACGATAAGCTGACTTACACACGCATTTTGACCGGTTTTTGTTTATGATCTATTGACGGTCAGAGTGTAGATGACGTCACTACATTTTGACGTCATCTGCGATCTTTTACTGAGTGGACGTACGGAAACACTTTCCATTTTCTTAAGTTACTCATTTTTTTGTTTCATGTTATTCTCGTCCTCTGCCGCTTGACTACAAATTGCTTATTCTATTTTTATAGTATTTTTTCATTAGGTTTCAATTCCTTTGATGACCTTTTGGAACTATCCATATCAATTGTAGGTATCTCCTTTTCTTTTGCAGGGAGAAGCAACAGACGAATGTTTATTCTATCAAAACCACGAAGAGAACCTCTTTCTATCGTTCGCCTCTTTTAAGTATTACATGAAAGAACATTACGACATGTTTATCAGTATAAAACGAAACGGAGAAGTAAAACAAGCTACTTCCACTCTTCCCGGACAGGACAGTATTCAATTCATCGCTCTAAACAGCGACAGCTTGAGATTGGCTCGACTCCACAATTGAATTATTCTGACAAGCGAACGGATTGCGAAGCGATTGGTTTCAAAGAATTTTGGGCTTCAGTCAATTTCTTTTCTCCGTGTTACAAGCCGAAAGCGAGGACCTACACGCTCCAACTCGCTCCAGTCTCAGTCGCTATCTTCTATCCACGTTTTGTTTGACAAGATACCGCAAAAACGCGCGCGTTGGTTTTCGGTTTTGCTTTTGAACCAATGAAAGGGTATAATTCGCTCTGAACTCACACCTAACATTTGAATTTTTTTTAAAAATAGGGACGATTAACGCGACTGAAATCCTTCTTCCTCATGTTGTATGTATGGTTAATTCCTTTCCTAATCAAGTAACATAAAAAATTGTTGCATGTTAGGAGCTTGATACCGTTTTTATTTGCTCGTTTTGGATACTTATATCACTCATTTTCCGAAGGACTCACGGAAAAAAAATGCCGTGATGATATTAAGACTCGACAAAAAGGCAATACCATTCCCTTAACCCTTTGACTCGACAAAAAGGCAATACCATTCCCTTAACCCTTTGACTCGACAATATATAGTCAGTAATTCTCCACATTATTTCTCATAAAGTTTCCCTGAAATCAAACAAGAGAATTTGGTTTATCCGAGCAAGAGAACGAATTTTCTTTTACTGGCGTGATAACCCACGCAGGAAGTTGCGAGAAAACGAGAAAAATTTGTAAATCAACTGCCCCCAGCTCGTGATTTACAACCTTTTCGATTCGATTTTCTCGTGTTCGCCTGACATTCTGTGTGGGTTATCACGCAGATAGTACCGCCTATTGCTTTCTTTAAATAAATTTTAATTTTTCATGGGTGTACCGATGCAATAAACGATAGATTTTGACCAATCAGGGTGTTGATATCATCTCAGTTATTTTATAAAACAAGATAACACCATGTAACTGATGAGCTTCTTTATTCTCCTAACCTGTTTGTAAGATAACATAGCAGAATCGCAAGGAGAAGATGCATGCTAATCATCTCTGAAAACTCAAGAGTTAAACATGCAATACTTTACATTCGCCTCAAAATGAAAGGTATACATTGTTCAAAATTTAAATTAAAAGACTCCACGACATTTCTAAGTCTGCGAAGATGCGTCGTGTCTTTTCGGGAAAACCAACAGTAAGGAAACTCGACTAGAATTTACTGTTTTCTAAGGAAAGTTTACAATTGTTAAATTATCATACATGGATCTTCCATCAAGGGGATACTAACATCGTATATGCATTTATGAGATGAAGACACTGATTTGTTGCACGGGTTGTACTCTGATATTGGATAATCTGTGTAAAAATGGAAACATGGAAAATGCAAATGCTTGTCTCTGAGTGAAATTCCAGAGAATTGCTCCAAATTTGTACAAATGATTTAGGTAAGGTGCATTAACATAATTTATGGCCTCTGAATACCTATAAACATCTAAATCGAAAGAAGATTTCATATGTTAATACTAACTAATAATAGAGAATTTATTTTCCTTTTTTTCTTTCTTTTCGTTTGAATAATGCACTTTCCCGCATATGACGCATATGAGATCAGTTTGTCTCTTTCTTTCAATGGCTACAGACTTTCCGAACACCAAAAAAATGTTCGATATTGCCTTCTGATTTGCCAAACGCTCAAGTTTTTCAGGCCAGGGAAATCTAAACTTTCTTTTGGCAGCTGAAAGAGCGACAAAAGTAATGGTTTTTTAGTTCCGGCGGCACAAAATTGCTCTTTTATTCCCATGTAAAAATCGCAGTTTCTTCTGTCTGTGCTCTGCTGTTAACCCATGTCTCTCTTGCCTTGCTTCACGCGACTTTGTCTTGCAGGCGTTGCTATTCTCATTTTATCGGTGTTGTTGTTATGCAGCAACAGAAACTGAACTGAGATTTGTCCAGGGTATGTCAACTTTGGAGACTTACAGCGTCCATTTTGTTTGATTCCAAGGAACAGGTCATGTCGTTTGATCTTGAAATATTTGTGCGAAGTAAATGTATGGAAGTAGTTTTCCTCGTACATCGTCTTGAAAATGCTTTCATCCGAAATTTTAGACTGATAGAAGATAAAAGTCACAAAAGAGTTTAACCTCACAAAACTAAGCAACGATTTTAACTAAAAATCCTAAGCCGGGGACACGGGTGCAAATACTCATTCTTCACACTTTGTGCTTTCACAGTGGTTAAACTCCCTTTCCCTCCTTCCCTGATTCCTTCCCCAAAAAATTAAGATCGTCTTTATACGAGGGTAGGGTGAAAGGATGGAAAGGGAAGGGAGAGAAGGAATGGGGCTGCATAGAGAAAGGGGCGCGCGTCCAACTTTACGAAGTTTTCCAAGACTCTTCGATGGTTTTTGATTGCGTTGGGTAAATGTGCTCAGTAAGAGAAAAAGAAAGAGTATAGTATTTCAACGCAGCAATTCCATGAGAAGTCCTTTCATAAAAATAGAAAACTAATTATTCTGCGAGTGATTGTCACAAGTATGATAACGATCGATGTGTCACTATTCTAAGGCCGTGTGCAGGGGGGAAAAAGTTTTTCAGTAACCATACGCAAACCACGCGGGGAATAGATGAATATAAAAAGACAAGTCCCAGTCAGTTTGCACCCTTGTTCACGTTGAATCCAATGGCCCCAAACTCGAAGATTTGCGCAACAGAAAAAGTAAGTAACTGATATCAGTGTTTTCTGTTGAAAATCTTGTTATTTTCTTTGCGTATTGGCTGTGCCAACATATAACATTATCTACAATACCACATGGTCTAATAGATTAATTAGGGTTTCATCTGTTTAAAGATTTAAATGTATCATAACTTTTTTTTAAATGAAACTTTATTTGTTAAGCTTGATATAAAATATGAGATTATTTTTTTTTTTTATCATTTAAGTTGAAAGAGACGGCAGCTCTTCAAGAAACTATATAAAGGTAAGATTTTAAACATTTCTGTAATTGTGGTACATCCTGCATGTTATCAGATCACTTTTACCATAATTTATTAATATAGCAATAAAGGACTGACATATGTCTAAAACACGTGAATAACACATTGTAATCAATGATTTGTACCTCGACCTCTAAGGTGGATACGTTATCAAAAGTTAATTAAAATGTGATGTTTGAGAGCAGAATTTCAATAATTTGGTTTATTCTGGTTTATAATTTGGATCAATTCGCATTTTTTTTCGGTTTACTTCGGTTGCTATGTCAGGGTTCGCCTTAGCATACTTAATTTGTGCCGCAAATCTTTAAACTATTAATGTCTTCAGTGTCGTTCGAAGACTCTTCGGAAACGCACATTTGTGTTCGATGACTCTAAGTCTGTTTACGCCTGCGGTTATGAATGTTTTTTTAAAGTATTACGTAATACTTTAAACTTACATAACTTACTTAATGTTGAATGAATGAACCAGAGCAAAATCTTAGCAAACATCAAAGTGAAGGTATCCGATTTCTAAGGAAGGGCTCTTACTTCTGTATTACAACTTGTGGGAAAACCTTTGAAGGGATGCCAACAATTTTGCGTTGAGATCCGTTCTCGATTCAAACCTGATCGACTGAGCCTCCATCATAGCGTTAAATAGTTTTGTAAACGTTTAATTAAAAAAGAAAACCAATTTCCGCAATTACAGAATGGGCCGCGCTACTGCTCACTGCACATCTCACAAGTGTAATGTATTTCTGAGAATGATATTTGTAAGTTGGTTTACAGTGATAAATATGACACTTTCCTATATGCGCGAACGTAAAATAATGCGGGATTGGAGCTTGGGCGAACAAAAAGTTATTTCCGGCAGGATGGGATGTCAGTCAATCACAAGTTACCCTCTTCCCAACCCCCTAAGGAATTCACAGTTTGATTTTCCTTTCTATCAGGTGTATATTGCGGTAGCCAGTCATACTTTAGGGTGAAGAGAGTCAGCGCAAGGTTAAGTATCTTGTTAAAAATAAATTGCATCGACTTGCCAGGACTCGAACCATGACCTCTCTTTCCAAAGTATTATCTATTCTAATCATTCTCGACAAAGGCAAGCTAGAAACCAAGTCATACCTGTGTAATAATCCTTCCCTTTGAATTGATCGCCAAAAATCGTCCGCTGGCAATATTTCGCAGCCTGACAATACTCGTTCCAAGGGACTGGGACTCGAAAAATGCTGAAAGTACAAAGTTCGTTAAAACAAGCTTTGTGTGTGTGTGTGTGTGTGTGAAGGTTAGAATAAACATCATGGTTACATAAATCGAAGGAGGGACATATGTTCTTGCCTCTGGGGTAGGGAAGGGACGGTAACAGCTACTTACTGCTTTCACTTGATTCATTGACGATTCCGACAATACGGTTCTTCCTTGCCGTAACATTTAGCGCCAGAAAATATCCCGTCTTGCAAAAGAGCTGTACAATCTGTACATGAGAGGGAGTTTTAGATGCAACTTTAAAGATCTGGTAATTTATTCGAATATTAGCCGACGATTCGTCGATTCCATCACTGTCATCACCTTTGGTGTGAATACATCTCGGACGGCGTATGCGAGAGGGCCTGGATACCACATACGGGAATGGAGAAAGAGCTAGCACGGCCCAAATAAGGCACAATGAAACTCTAAGCTGCCAGGAAAAAAATGAAGGCAATATGTTAGCAAGAAGTTCCCCAAAGAAGAGCAGATCTTATAACTATAAAATAAATGAACGTCAACGCTCGTGTGAGAGAGGCATGAATAGTCAATTATAAAAACGCCCTTTTCAAAAAGTGAAAAAATTGCTTCGTTCCAGGGGAAGTGGCAAAGTTATTTATGGCTTCGATGAATGGAAATTTCTTCAGTTTTCTTACTGCTTTGTCCCCCAGTTGAAATGGAAAGGTCTGCTCTGTTATCTGTAGTCGGGTAGGGGGTCGTGCGTTTCCATATTTAGCTACTTGGCTCGCTATTTTTGGTTCGTTTTAGTGCACTGTCATCAAACAATGTTTTGTTCTTTCATAGCAACCGACACATCGCTAGAGTCACGAACGAACAAGGGCAGGTCAAAATCACCTCCAACAACAACAACGTGAAAAACGAGAAAAATTTTGTTTGTTATTGCCTTTCTTTAATGGTTCTCGCGCTTCCTCAATCTAAATATTCTTTGAAAATTGGTGGGTTTAGAACAATACGTGAAAGACTTGCTTCTTCGGTATATTAGCCACTGACCGTAAAACTGGCGACCGGAACATTTAGCTCAAAACAGTGCCTAGAGCCAGCTTTCATTTCATTTCGTGCTTTCCTTTCCTTGTTTTACAATCATTGTTATTTCAGGGCTAATTAAGCACGCTATGTTCTGAAGGGTCCCGGAGAGAGAGGAGACAGATGGAAATAACTAGATTGCTTTTGAATACAAAGACTTTTGAAGAAAATTTAAAAAGGCTCAATTGTAATAATTGTAGCACATTTGTTTTTTTTATCAGGAAACATTACAGTACACCAGCATTTGTGAAATTTGATCGTTATTTTTAATCGCGCCAGTGAATGAGTAGCACCAGAAATATGGAAAAAACAAGTTTGTTTTTTCACCTCAAACTCTGCTAATGTGGTTTCGTCTGTGGTTGAATACAGTAGGTCTTTCTTTGAATACCCTCTCATGCTCGATAACACGAATGTGCGCGCCTTAACCAACGAATCACATGCTTTGATCAGCAATAAAATTTGCCGTCAGTCACCATTTTGCGCAGTTTTACATAGTCTTGCTGTTGAAAATAATCTAGAACGTGGCCTCTCAAGAGATATTCGAGAGATCGCTTTAATCATCAACGAAATGAAATTATGCTATCTCAGTTAGAAGGTTCACTGAACTTTGGTGGCAACAAATCGATGGAAACTGTAGTCATTAAATGTCACTCGAAACCGCCCGCCCGTGCTACGCTAATGCTCACCTGAAAGAAAGAAATTTTATCAAATATTCTTCCCACGCCTTTTATCGTGCGTGAGTCTGAACGTCGTAAAAGCGGGCCGGTTTGCCATTCAAATATCTCCACCACATACTGATTACGAAAAAAGATACTTGTATATCGTCATTCTAGGACTTACCATCGACGGAGCCATTAAGATCAATCGCAGGTTTCGCCAACGGGCGTAACCAGAACACAAGAGCCCTGCGTTCGAAACAGATATGGGCTGAGATGTAAAATATTCTTGCAAAAGGCAAATTCACCCAGACTTGTCTGAGAGGTAGAGACGTCTTGGTGAGTTGGTGATTAAGACCGGAAGCTTTTGAAGCCGGCAAACGCTGTGGAAAATGCAAACAACCTGAAAACGTACGGATCTGAATGGAGGTAGGTGTTTCAATCGAATTAAATAAACCGCTGTTGAAATCACAGTGTGAAAGCAGCTTGAAGATTATTGAGGAAAACAAATAAGGATGCAAATCGCTGTAATCGTGCGGCCTTTGTTGGAAGCCAAACAAAACAATCTATTAGCCATCCCTGATGAGAGTAATGCGAAGAAAAGCAGGATATAACTCTCCTACTGATAGCGCGACAAGATCCAACGTTAATATGAACAAAGAGTTGACGTCTAGCTAGCGTATCCTTAACAGAACCTTCTAATCACTTTTGATGTCTGTGCGAACTATTGTCAAGAGGTATATTGATTGTCGGGGTAAGTTAGGCATCAGAAGTCGGCCACACCAAAACTAGAGATTGACTTGTGCTTCATTTGCCATGATTCGACCAATACGATCGTGATATTTCAAACAAAAATGTGCCGACAGGGCTTGTTAATTACCTGATGGAGGGAGACCGCGCGTGAAATACATGGAAGTCGTTACACTTGAAGAGTGAAAACAGCCTGGTATCCTCACTTGATGTAACGAATTTGCTGGTCGAAAGCGCGAATATATGGCATTGAATCAGGTTGAAAAAAATGTTACGTCCAAAACGTTTCCTTACAGACAGTTCGTAATTCTGTACCTTATCGTCTTAATATTATGAACTGTTCATTTTAGTCGTTTCGAACTAAGATCCTGCGAGAAATTTAAGATTTACAAATTTTATGCAACCAAACACTAAGGATAGCCATCAATAGCCTTTGGTTTGCCTTCTTGCGGTTGTTAATTACTTTGCAAAGACTTGGCTCTCAATGTTAAAACCAGCCAAATTGAAAGTTTGATTTAAAGCATGAGTTGAAAAAATTTCGCTCACATTTTAGAAGAGGAAATACCATGATGAGTGCAACCACAAAGATCTTCTCTAATTCAGAGATCTTCTTTGTGCGTTTTATACAGATTGTCTCACTTTGAGAAAAGAGCGAATTAAACCCGGCGCGATTGAAACAAAAAACTGGTATAAGGGCTATAAATTTGATTTTAATAATAAATTACGGTGCTACGAACCTCAGTTAGTGTACAAACTACCAAAAGGTAGTTTAAAAAGGCCTCCTTTACGTATCGAAAGGATATGATAGACCACTGAGTAAGCATGCAGACAGCATGCCTGATTAGAGAGGCAGATATGCCGGATTAAGTAAGATAATATGGGAGAGACTTTACAAGTGAGGTAAATGAAGTAATTTGTAACATCATCGGAAATATAGGGTATTTTTCAGTGATGGAAAGGCATATTCATATTCAAGAAGATTCTCTCGTGGCCATAGTCTCGACTTTAATAAAACACTAAAAAATGATGGTTCATGATTACCTATCGACCGAAAAATCGGTTTCTCCGATTTGTCATGGATAGTGACTTCAGTTACTCACAAACTCTTCTGTTACCAACCGCCACTCCTTACCAAATTACCCTGAGTGCAGTCTTCTCCTGACAAAATTGACCATAAGAACAGACAGAAACACGGACAAGACCCAGAAAAAAAGGGAAGACCAAAACTTTATTTATCTTTAGGTGGTCAAAAGGCCGGACATGAATTATATCGCTTTGTCACTCTACCCCGCCTCTGTTGGTATTTATTACCTTTACAGCAAAAGAGGCAGGACTAATGTTCTACTGTAGAAAAACTTAACAATACGTCTTTTCCGCTGGGTGCCTAAAGGACAGGTCTTGTCATGGCACGTTGACCAAATTGAAAAGGAACAAAACCTACGCAAAGACAACACGTGAGGTCAAAAGAAAGCCGACTGCTTAAAATTCAGTGCAAATTAACTCTTGTTAGCGCTTATTTGGAGCAAAAGACAAAAACCAAAATTACACAGTCATGCAAACATTCATACAACGATATTTCACTTTAAAGCTAGTAGAATAAGTTTAAGAAAATACAAACAAACAATGAGCTGAGAATGAAGGATCGGAGAGCACCTTTGGGAGACGAAAAAATCTTGCGCATGTGAACAATTTCCTTTAAAGATTTTTTACTTTAGCTCAAAGACTATGGCGTTTTAAGGGAAACCGGCCTCGTTCCGGAAGTGATTTAGAATCAATTCAACTGGTTCCTTTGATTCATGAAGCTAAATGTGTTAATAACGTATATACTTTTCAATGTGTTGCTTTGTCACTAAGAGAAAAGCTATAATTCTAAGCCTGTTTCTTTGACTATAATGCCAAAGAAACACAATAGTCTACAAAACGAAGCTATGTAAAGAAGGCCTCGCGAATTTTTGCCTTTCAAATTAGCAAACCGCAAGTCTGCAAATAGCGAAATAAATAACAATTAGTAGCGTCCTAAAATATCTGTCCTGTTTATTAGAGGTTTTTGCTTTTCAGACCCGTTTTGTGCTTGATGTTACAATAGAGTGCTAACAACTTTGGAGTGTCTGGCAAGAGTGCTAATTATACTTATGTCATTACTGTATTTATTGAGATAAGAAAGCTCGTAGTTGCGAGAAAAAGATAAATTTATCATTTCGATTTCACTGCCGTGACTAAAGCCAAGAATTGCGCCATTTGCGAACAGTTGTGCCAGATTACCAGCAAAAACAAGTGATACTCAAATCCAGGTACGAGCTTAAAACAATCAATGAACCATCAAAGAAATGCATTGGCCAGAAGAATTTTAGCTGAATCAGTCGTTTCTCGACTACACTACATCTTATTCTAAAATCAGTATATTGAAATGCCTCTCAAAGTTTTAATGAGTTTGCTGTGATCAGCTTATCTACCCGTAAAAGAAAAGAAAAGACTTAGACAGAACATGGCAAAGATTGGAAGTCATTTGAAATCTCACAGATACGGATTTGTGTATAGCATACATTTGTAACCAAATCCTGATACGTTATTCTAGAAATCTTTTTTCCTTTTCTCTGTATTGTTTTCAGCACCGAACGAAAAAAAAAGCTGAAACACTTCGAAAGTCGTTATTAAACATTCTTGAGTCTTCAAAAACGTGTTTAACATCCTTACGTTCAGATCATAACCTATTTTGTCATTTAAACCTCAGTGCCTGTCAAAACAAAGACCGAGTAGTGTCTTCTGGGGGATTAATAAGCTTACTTCGGATTATCTAAAGTGGCGTGTTTTTTTTGTTAAAGAAAAAAGTAACGCTATACTCAGCTTTAAAAGTCGATAATTCAAATAAAGTTATAGGTTATGAAATAACTTAGGGGTCTGTGGGGAACCTTGAATGCTCTATAGATCATATAACATGTTTGATTATTGTGATCAATCATGTAATGTTAAATCTGTTGTAGTTTGATAAGAGTTCAGGTCTAAACTCAGGAAGTACAAAGACAGCAAAATCAGCAGCATAACTTGGAAAATCTGATTAGTTTCTAGAATTCCGAGCTGAGAGTTACCTAACGAAAAAGTTCCTTTTTCTTAAAAGTTGTCCGCCACTAGTTCTCTTTTCACCAGGGAAGAATTGCATCAGTTTCTAATAATCATCTGGTTGTTTCCGTCATGGCGGTTAAAGTAAAAAGCTAAAATTAAGCTGGCTATTAGCTGGCACATCATCATCACAACAAACAGATCTCTCACGCTTATAGATAAGCAAAAGCTTTTGGAGAGTAAAGGTGGCTGCTAGTTCTATATCTGCGATATATTTGTTCAGGGTTTCAAGGAATTGGGAAAACTGGTCTGCCAAATATTTGTTTCAAATCATACCAAAGATAGAGTTAGTTGCACAGTTGAACACCTTTTTTTAGCCCACGAAACTCTTTTAGTGGCTAGCCAATTGTCCAACGTTAATTGAGGATATTTTAAAGCATTTGATATAATTTGCTGAACTGTGTTTTTTTTATATTGTTCTGATTTTAACTCAATTTTTTTTCCATCCAAGCTGTCAACTATGAACTACATGTATCTGCTCTACGTTCATCTTCTACTCTCATATTTTACGGAGATACACTCGTCAGCCAAACCATATAAAGAAACAAAACCGCAAAAGAAAGAGCTGAAACCACTCAAAGGACCTCACTCAACTTCAAGGAACGATGAAGACAACACCCAAAACCGGTTCCTAAGAACGTTCCTCCTCAATAGGCAGAAACGTCCACGATCTTCCACAGAAAACTCTTTTCGACGCGTCCGCAAGATAACGAAAAGACCAACAACGACCACAAACTGTAAAATATTCTGCCGCAGTGGTTATCACCTTCAAATTCTCCCCAGTGGGGTAGTGAGGGGTACGGTTGACCAGGACAGCGAGTACGGTAAGAATAAGTTGGTAAATATTACAATCATTAAGTGTTTGAAACCTCAGTGTATTCAAGAAAAATTCATTGCAGTCCATATTTGAACTTGAATGCGGCGTAAAACAAGACTGCTGAGATTACTCTAGAACCTCATAAGAATCACTCAAAGGCGAGTCGTTACAGTTTGGTACAACAATGGCAACAACCAACGAATGATGCCGAGAAATTGTTTGAAGTCGAATCGCGTTATTGCGGACACCATCGGGGGAAGATTTAGCGTCCGTCCGAGAGAAAAAAATTTGTTTTGTGTCTAAACTTTTGAAATAATATGTAACTACGCAGACATTAAGTTTCTAACGTGGCCTCACGAACCTGAAAAAGATCCAGCCGTAAGCAGGAAATTCTCTTGTCCGCACCCAATTGAAGAATGGTTTCGCTGTCGCTTTATATTGTGCGAGTCAGGATTTTGGACGAAGTACTAAGTGTCCGCTATAGCGCGAGAAAAAACAAGTGAAATGTCGCGCTGGGGGACAAAAGTACCTGCATCAATAATAATAATAATAATAATAATAATAATAATAATAAAATGATAACAATGATAGCAACGGGAATCTGTTTCAGTCATTTTTTTAAGCGCAATGGCGGCGTGTCTGTACTAGCGAGGTGTCCGCAGGGAGAGAGTCGAATGAAGTAACAAATTTCTAACGAGCAATGCTAAAGGTCGCTTACACTTATTTTCTTTGAGTCCTCGTTGGTTCCCTTGTCTGTAATATAACTTTGTCCTGACGAAGGTTTGCGGCATTCAATGGAAATGCGCTGTTTTACGACCTAGGGGCGGTCTCTAAGCGAAAACCTCCTTCGCAAAGGTTTTTGGTTTGGGCGTTTATCAAGATTGCGTGTGAAGCCGCCCCAAGAACATTTAGGCGGGAAACTTACGGCCAATGAAGAACCTGATCATTACCACTATGTGTTTTTCTGCTCCCAGTGTTGTTTGAGATGCAGTCATTCGGGCCCAGTCTCGTTAGGCTGATGAGTCCAGCGACGGGCAGGTATCTAACTATGAAAAGAGATGGGACACTTCGTGGGTTGGTAAGTGAAGTAATTCTTAGCTTTAAGTCAGGAACTGATGTCACAAGAGTAACCTTTAACAAGGCGTAAGTGTAGAAAAAGTCAAGAACTGATGTCACAAGAGTAACTTTTAGCATGGAAAGGATACTGTTACATTCAAATCAGGAAGTAGAAATGACTTCTGGCAAGAAAAACTTCGCGAAGCTTTTTAAAAGTAAGGGTTGGATTCAATAAGTTTGTTCAAACGTGAATCAGCGTGGTTTATCTTACTGCTTTTGGATATCCTGCTTTTTTAACGTTTTTCAATCACGTGGTTATGATTCAAATTTTGTTTAGCTATTAAAATTATACATGCGGGACTAACAATCTATTGTAGTGAGAGTTTGACTGTTGTTTGAAAAAGAGAGAGGTTACCATACATTACTGACTGACTTGTGTAGGAAACCCAACTTTTCTCGATTTCTATAGGATGAAGCCGGACTCTGGGTTATTGCTACTCCCATACTCGCATACTGGTCCATTGCAGATTACCCCGTGTACCTCTAACTTCCACCTTTTGCTCTCTTTCAGAGAAGCCAAACCACCCGAGACTCGCTCTTCAAAGAGACTCACGAAGAGAACGCGTTTCACTCTTATGCGTCTTACAGATATTACAGAAAACAGCCACACGACATGTTGGTTGGAATCAAGAGGAACGGGCAAATAAAGCGCGCCACGAAGACTTTCCATGGACAAACTGCTACACAATTTCTTGTCATCAAATTTTGATCAAGGCTTAAGTTTTAATTGTTCTCATCCTCGAAGACCCAGGGGCTGTCAGTCGATTTCTAGTCAGGGCGTAACAGCTATGACTAGATGTCGACTCACTGCCCCTCAGTCTCCAAAGATGAATTATTCTTAGCTGTATAAACAGATCTTCCTTCAAAATTGCTGCCTAAATTTAAAGCTTTATATACGAAACTACTCTGGAAATTGTGACAAGGTGCATTCGGCGTCGAGTTGTTTCACCAATCCGCAAATGGAAGCAAAAGTGGGGAAAAGAAAAACCTGAGACTTAATTACGAGTATCAAACAACTTAATTTGACATTCATTCTATTCTTAATCAGCAGAAAAGACATCGTGGCCCTGAAATTACGCTGCCGAGCCGCCATTTTGGTCGTCTCTTAGCTGTTTCACCATTTGTGTAACCATTTGACCGCGTTTTATTTCAGACAAGGTAGCGAATGACGAACTGCTAACGTTCGAAAGGCAGCTTTGAAACTCTTAACGGTAGCCAATTTACGTTCTCAACTCAGTTGATAAAACCAAATTACCTTGTTATACTCTCTCACCGACGCAGCACCACAGTTTTTTTAGATAGCGACCCCTTTATTCATTTGTTATTTCAGACAGTCGATTTTTCAATAACGAGAGTTACACTGAGTCTATATCAGTTATAGGTACGCACAATCTGGACCAGGACGCTCTTTAGGGAATATTTTTCATTTAATGTTTCACTTCGGTGGCTATTTTGAAGGAGTGTCTAGACAAAGCCGACGATCTGATTCAAGTTGTT